TTATATTATATATATACATACAGTCATCCCTTCTCTTCTGAGTGTGCCTTATCTCCATTCCTGTTTGCGAATTTGGATCTTTGAATCCTCCCCTTTTCAGTCATTATCTCAATTTGTCCACATGTATACTGAATGTTCATTACTATCTTGCTATAGCAATTTTTATTTTTTATTTTTTATTTTTATTTTTAGCTGTTAATGCCCTGTTTGTAGTAAGGGTTGCACCCCTCTGCTTTTATCAGCCTGCTAGTCACCTTACTCTTAATTATACTTTTTTTTTTTTGTCATTTTGTTTTAAGTGAGCTGTGTCCTCTTTCAGTATTTTCTGTAGTGCAGGCCTCATAGTGAAGAATTCCCTCAATTTCTGTTTGTCTTGAAAAGTCTTTTTTTCTCCTTCATATCTAAAGGAGAGATTAGCTGAATACATTTTTCTTGGCTAGTAGATCCTTTCATTTAATAGCTTGAGGATTTGATTCCACTCCTTTCTGGCTTGTAAGGTTTGTGCTGAGAAGTCTGACAATAATTGAATGGGTTTTCCTTTATAGGTTACCGTCTTCTTTTCTCTGGCTGCCCTGGGAATTCTGTCTTTGTCGTTGATTTTTGATATGTTTAATACGATTTGTCCTGGTGAAGGACTTTTTGGATTGAGAAAATTGGGTGTTCTGTTGACTTCTTGAATTCCAAGCTCCAATTCATTCCTTGGATTTGGGAAATTCTCATCAACTATTTTTCTGAAAATCCTTTCTAATACCTGTTCCTTTTACTTGCCTTTGAGAATGTTTCCTTTCCTGATAGTATCAGCTAGTTCTTGTATTTCTTATTATTTTTCATTCTTCAGTACTCTGTTCTTCCTTCTTCCACTTTATTTCTAGATTTCTGTCTTTGATATCACTGATCTTTTCTTCCAGTTAGTTGACTCTATTTCTCAAGCTTGCTATTTCATTTTTTTATCTTTTTCAGTGTTTTCTTCATCTCCAGAAGTTCTATTTGGGTTTCAATCTCCTTGTTGAAAAACTCATTCAGTGTTTTCTTCATCTCCAGAAGTTCTTTTAAGGGTTTCAATCTCCTTGCTGAAAAACTCATTTTGGCGATCTAGTTGTGGTTTTTTGTTTGTTTGTTTTTTGTTTTTTTCTTCCATTTCTGTGGTTGCTCTTATGTGCAGATCCCTTGCTTAGACTTGCTTGTGCACAGGTTGGGTGTTTTTTATTGTTTTAGATGTTCAGCTTACTGTTGTTTTAAGGGAGAGATGTAGGGACAGCTCTCACTCCACCATGTTTCTCTGGGGTCGGCCTTATATTTGGATCATCCTTGTTTTAATCAGAGAAGACAAACAGCTCACCTCATTAAATCCCTTTTTCTCTACTCCAAGAATTTATAGTAGAATGATCTCCAATTCTAACCTTAGCTCACCTGCAACGCTGCTTCTTTTTTTTGGTTTTCTTTTATACCTACAAGATGGTGCATATGATATTTCAGCAACATCTGGTTTCTCAAATAATTATTCTGCAAAACTTTCTGATTCCAAGTAGCAAAACTAATCCTAGGCACGCTTAGTTCAGCGACGGTTACTTTGCTGTTTGTAGGCAAGGTTGGGGTCTCAGGTGAATGGCCAAGCAAAAGTTTCATTCTTAACTGTAAAAGCTCAGTGGGGAAGAATTGGACTGTGAGACAAAAATGAAAAAAATATAATAATGGTCGCTTACTGGAGGATAAATTTCTTAAGCTGCTACTTTCTTTCTTTCTTTCCTTTTTTCTTTCTTTTTCTTTCTTTCTTTCTTTCTTTCTTTCTTTCTTTTAATGGGAATATCTTGTCTTGTCTTCTTGACAATTTAATGGTGTCTTTGGAAGAGGTGTGATCCAGTGGTGGAGTTAAAGTAATAAATATAAAAATACGTTCTGCATTTTTTTTAGGGAGAGAGAGAGGAACAACAGAAATATCAGGGTCTTGAATCCCTAGAAACTCTCTTGAATGTAATATCTATTAATAGATATTTATAATGAATCTGTGAGTTTAAAATTATTTTATGCAATAGTTAATATAAACGTGAAATATATTTTTTTCTTAATTAATCTAAAAGATAACTTTTTAAAATAATAATGACAAAGCAGTGGGTAATCATAATACATGGATAAGAGAAATGAATGGCAGCGATGCCACAATAGATGACAAGGAAGAATTAGAAAAATTCTGTTATAAGTGTTCTGCATTACACATACAGTTGTACAGTGTTATTTGAAGATAGACTTAGGATTATTTTTAAGTGTACATTATAAACTCTAGGGCAACAACTAAAAATTAATACATATCATGGATATATTACCAACATAGATAAAATTAAATCACATAAAATGCTTAAATAATGCATTTTTTTTTAGGGAGAGAGATGGGAACAACAGAAATATCAGAGTCTTGAATCCCTAGAAACTCTCTTGAATGTAATGTCTATTTATTAATAGATACTTATAATGAATCTGTGAGTTTAAAATTATTTTATGCAATAGTTAATACAAACGTGAAATATTTTCTTTTTCTTATTAATCTAAAAGATAACTTTTTAAAGTAATAATAATGACAAAGCAGTGGGTAATCATAATACATGGATAAGAGAAATGAATGGCAGTGATGCCACAATAGATGACAAGGAAAAATTAGAAAAATTCTGTTATAAGTGTTCTGCATTACACATACAGTTGTACAGTGTTATTGGAAGATAGACTTAGGATTATTTTTAAGTATACGTTATAAGCTCTAGGGCAACAACTAAAAAATTAATACATATAATGGATATATTAACAACATAGATAAAATTAAATCACATAAAATGCTGAAATAAAACAGAGGAGGCAACATTAGTCTTTTAAATGCAGCAAATAGAAAATAGTTAAACATGATACATATCAACTTGATCATATTAATAATTACTTTATTAGGTTAAAAGTAAAGGAGTGGAAAAATATATATCATGCTAACACAAAATAGAACAAAGCTGGAGTGGCTGTATTCATTTTAGACAAAGTAGATTTCAGAATAAGGAAAATCAGCAGGGTAAAGGTAAGTACTACATAATAATAAAAGGATCAATTCTCCAAGAAGATATAATAATCTTAAATGTTTATGCACCTCTCATGAATAGGAAGAATTTAAATGTCCATACTACCCAAAGCAATCTATAGGTTAAATGCAGTCCCTATCAAACACCAATCGATACACCTGAAACAAACAAACAAACAAAAAATGTGTATGCACTGATAGAAGTGAAAGAAGAAACATAATACATGATGTTAGCTCATTGCATGATGTTTTTCTTAGTTTTCTTCTGGATAATCTGATTCTTGAAGCAGATGGACTGTTTTTAAGGAACCGAAGGCTGATAGTTGGCAGAGGAACAGCAAATGTTAATTGATACATAGTAAGATTATGTTGGAATTAGGGACAACAGGCAATGGGTTTCATTCATAAGTCTACGTATAACATGGTACCCTGAACTTGGAGGCACTGGGATCAGTCTGAATGGGAGAATCCTGAAGCAATGCGATCTTCCATTCTTTTTATGGCCAGCTCTGCAGGAGCCAGGAAACCATTGTAGGGTGAGGACAACCAATGGGACATGAGAGCATCTTCTCTCCTGGGCTCCTTGCCCAGACCATCAGTTCCTGAAAATAGGGGGTGCTTTACATGTTCTCAAAACATAAAGCACCAGCCCTGAAAGTGGGCTTTAATAAACATGTTTGATTATGACTTGTTTAGGTTTGAGGAATTTACAGTAGTACATTCATAGCATGAGAGCTCAAACAGAAAAATAAAATCATAGTACTTTAAAATTGTAGTTGATCTCTGTATCTAGGACTCTGTTTCTGTTTTGTTTGTTTATTTTATTCTTTAAATTCCACATAAGTGAAACCATATGGTATGGTGCTAGGTGGATATAAGACTTATCGGGGGGAATCACATCATAAATTATATAAATGTCTAACCACTACCCTGTACATCTAAAACTAATATAAAATAATATTGAATGTCAACTGTAATTGAAAAAAAAAAAAACTGTAGTTGATTCTGCATTATAAAGAAGACAAAGACTGTTTTTGTTGTTGTTGCTACTGTTGTTGTTTTGTTTTTTGCTTTAGAAGTCCCTAAGCCCTAGCCCAGTCTGGAAGTTGAAGGGTGAGAAAAGGGGAAGTGAACATAAGTGAATAATATATGCTGCTCTGTATAATAAATGTAAAGGGCCATCTTTTTTCTGGTCAGAGGGTAGATCTACACATTTCATGGTCCTTAGAAAGCTGTTTCTGTCATTACATCTATATAGTAGACTTGAATACCAGCCTCTTTCATAAAAAGGCTAAACCCTAACTTATCAAACTTTAATGCGCATATGAATTATCTGGAGACCTTTGTTAAAAAGAAGACCTTGATACAGGAGATTTTGTGGTTGCCTAAAAGCCTGCATTGGTAGTAAGCTTCCAGATGATGCCTAGGCCCACCACAGGTCACACTCAGCCATGAACAAACTTGAAAGAAAGTCCTGGGAGATCAGTCTCCACTATACAACTCAGGAAAATGCCAGTTTACTTCCTAATGCCAGTTCACTTGTCAGTTTAATGGAACTCAGGTTAAGGTCATCTTCCACCTTATTGAACAGATATTGAGGTCCTGCTCAGAATTCTTGAGTATTCAAGGCAAAAGTGATAACAGAGTTCTAATTTAATCATCTAGTTTTACAGATGGGAATACTAAGCTCTTAAGAGGTTAAATTGTTTATTTATTATCACTTAACTATTTGGTCAGGATTCTAAAAGTTTTCTGCCCAGTGCCCTTTACTTGCTTCATATAAGACAGGAAATCAGCCTACAATAGAAGATATGGGGACAGGACACAGTATGAAGAGTGGAGGCATCAGAAAAGTTGGGAGGGAAATAAGAGATAATAAAACCAATGCAGGTTCGATGAATAAATCTATAAGATTGACACAACAAAGTGCAGAGTAGAGACAGTCATTGTAAAATTGATACAACAGTATTTTAAAGGACAACACATCAAATAGGGTCATTTCCACTAGGATAGAGTATGTGGGACATGAGGGTTAGAAACAATCAAAGGGTGCTCCTTCTTTTTTCATGGAGTGAGTGATCCAGGTTAAGGTCTCAGGCAAAGCTGCCTTTATAACTACTTTTACCTTTATTATACTGGACCACAGACTGAATTAGAGGCATCTAGGACTAAGGATTCCATCAACACCCTTTTACTAAGATGTTTCCTGATGAAGGAGAAAGGTCTGACTTCAACAGTTATGACTCAATCCAAGTCCCTTAGGCAGTGAGAGAGAAGGCATGCAGTATGGGGTAGCTAAACCCAAGCAGAATCAATCGAGAAGGTCTCCAACAGTGCCAACGCTCACAGTGGATCCCTTGAGACTCTGTCTTTGTCATCTGGAGGTTTATATTAATCCCAATGTCAGCTTTCAACCTCCTCTCCAACCTTTCCTCCTATCTAAGAATAGAAAATTGTATCGCTCACCACTCTAGTCCTGATAAGTATATAAAATCAAAAGTGAATAGACAAAAATAATGCAGAGAATTCTATAATTCAGACATACTCTAACATCAATGTGGCAACCTTTAATCTGGAATCCATGTCACTTGTTTTTCATGGTGGCACTCTAGAAAACCTAGGAGGAACATTACTGCCTAAGAATCTTTTGAACTCCAAGGAAGGGAACAGGTTCTGGGACTACTGACACTTGACTGAGGATACATGCGGGGAAAGGAAAATCATATCCAAAGGGAACCTGGAACACAGAGGCAAGGTGGGCGGGCAGCCTTTACTTTTATGACAAGAAACAGACAGGATAGATATAAAATACAACACATTACAGCAGAAGAAAGGCTAAAGGAAAGGTCAATAGCATAGAAGATGCACTTGTTTTTCTGGATGGTATCCTCAGAGGGCAAAGATGGCATGATTCTCAGATGATTTCAGAAAAGCAGTTGCAGCTTTCATAACCACATGCATGACAGAGCCTGTTAGGAGGAGAAAACAAGAGTTAGAGCTGAAGGACAGCAACGAGAGTAAATACTTCTTTCTCAGTCTCCCCTAAACCTCTTTGATCGTCTCCTCCCAAGTTCTGGTTTTATCTTTCTTCAATATTCCTGACTTTCCCCCTTCACATTGCCCAAATTCTCTTTAATCTTCTCTGGTCCCAGAAATACTCAGCAGCAGTGAGATAATAAACACTCAAGGAGTAAGTGTCCCAAGTTCAGTCTCATACTCAGTGTGGTACTGACAGAGTAAGGAGAATAAATGCCACTTCACGTCCCTCACACAATTCACACTGCACTCCCCATCCATGTCTCTTTTCCTCTTTATACACCTCCCCATACCCCCCAATTTAAGACTGCACCCTCATCCTGCCAAGAAAAGAACTAGCTGGAAGACCAGAAAAGGTCTGGATCAGGATGTTTGGAGGAGAGGAGTATGGGGTTTCTCTCTTGGCCCTCTCTCAGGCCTGGTGGCTCAGTGTCTGGGAAGATGTCTTGCTTCCTAAGGAGAGAAGGCAGTGGGGTCTTAGAATTGTGCTCTTGCCTGCATGGATGTTAATTCAGGCCACAGTTTTCCTTTCCAGAAGCTCCCACTCACACTTCATGTCTTTACTATTAGCATGAAGCCAGAGCATCTCCAGGACTGTGGCCCAGCCTGAGGAATCTGCATTCTGTACAATAGAGAGAGACTTCCCTGAAGCCTTTGGTTGGAGCAAGAAATCTTTCAAAGAAATGTAAAAAGATCCATTCCCTCCTCACTTACTGTGCCCCAAACTACTACTAAATGGGATTACCTGGTCTCTTTACTTCATTTATGACTTGCAAGGCATAATGCCTTAAACTTCAGGGAAACAGTTCATTGAGTCTTAGGGTAGAAAGGTCTTAAATTTTAAAATCCAGCGTAACCACTAGGACTGTGCTTGAAACTCTTAAAACACCCCCAACAAGGATTACCTAACTGTGATAAAACAAACACATATACAGTTGCTTTATAGTTTATAAAGTATCTTTGTTTTTCTTTTATTTAAACCCATACCTAAACAACCCCCCCTAAAAAAAGAAAGAAAACATCAATAATGACATTTTTAAGAGAGAAAATTGATTCATACAAAACTGAAATGATTTTCCCACAGTTAGCCTTCTAGCAAATGATAGAGCTGGGACTGGAGGCCAAATATTCTGATTCAAGTCATATTGCTCTTATTGCTCAACAGAAAGTCTCAGCCATAGAATAGAAAATGGGCTCCCTGAGTTTTCACCCACAGCTCCCAACTCCAGTTTTTAGAGACAGCAGGTCAAGAGAAATTCCTCTTTCATATCATAACCTTTGAAATTTGAAGAAAAAAAAAATCATGTTCTCTGAATAGTCTTGTTTCAGATCAAAATTCTCAGTTCCTTTAATTCTTCCTTAAGAATACTACTTATGTCAAAACAGTAAGAATCCCCATGTTTGTTCTCTTAGTCTAGAAACAAACATCACAGTGATTTCTGAAATATATCTCCTTAAATGGTCACTTCAGGTGGAAAATATACTTTTGAGACTCTACTATCCCAGTCCAAAAATATATAATACATATAGCTTTTCTGACAATTCTATTGCCCTCCGCTAATTGTGTTCCATATATGCTGATTCATATTAAGTTTGTGGTCATCTAAAATCTCTGATTTTCATGTGCAACAGCTCTTAAATCATTCTGCTTCTATTCTCTACTTGCATAGTTGATAATTTAGCATGAAAAACAGTATTTTTAGTCCTAATTATTTTCATAGAAATTTCAAGTCATTGCTCAAGTTTTTTGGGATCCTGATTTTCTTATTTAATACTTTATCTCCCAGTTTTGTTATATACAATAAGAAAGCACTGGTCTACATCTTTGTTTAAATATTCATTGAAAAGATAGACCTCCAGAGAATTCAGAGTCCGATGAGTCCAGAAATCTGTTCCGAGTTTGAATAAATTCATTATTCAGTGCTGTGGGTTTTCAGCTAGTTTGTACTCTGTTCATATACTCATCATTAAGAAAAATTCAAATTCCTTACTAAAATTCAGACATACTAGGGCTCTCGATTCCCTTGATCTATTGGCCCAGTTACCATGTTAAAGAAGAAAATGTTAGTCTGACATATCCTATTCTCAGTAAAATAAAGTTAGAATTTCATGATCTTTATATTTTCTTTTAATTGTTTATAATTAATTATATTTATTAAGCTAATAAATTATTTGTTAATTGTTATTATTTATTCTAGAACAGTATTTTTAATAGAAATACACATATAATTATAAATGTCCTACTAGCCACATGTAAAAATGTAAAAATAAAGAAGTTCAATTATTTTACTAACTTAATATATTTTATTTAACCTGATATATTCAAAATATCATTTTAACATGAAATCAATATAAAATTATTGATAAAATATTTTACATTCTTTTTATAGTAAACTCTTTGAAATCAGTATGTATTTCACAATTATAGCATGCCTCAATTTAATTAAAAATTTAGTTCCTCATTTGCATTAGCCATATTTCAATATTTCAATAGCCATATGTAATTAGTAAATACTGTATTGGAATTGTGTAGTTATTAAAAGATATCTGAAGTTTATTTAATCACCTTTCACATTTTGTAAATTCAGAATGACACTTGACTTTCAGGTTTCTGGCACTTGTCTTTATTAAACAATATCTCAATTAGAAGATTTAGTAAGCTTGGTTGAAATTCTGGAAGTTAATTTGTCCTCATTGGGAGGATTGAACACATTTGAAGTAACTAAGTCATCTCTATTAATACTTCACCTATCCTAACTTCAGTAAAATTTTGCTAATTTCTGGACCACTTTTTTTAGTAAGAGGAGGAGCTATAATGTGGGTTCTGAAGACCGATAGTTCTAGAATTGAATCCAACTCTGCACTGACTGGTTAGGTCACCTCAGACATATCATCATAATTCTCTGGGCTTCAGTTTCATCATTTATAAACAACAACATGAATAGGATTTATCTCATTTAATCGTTGTGATGAATAAATAAGATCATGAATGTTAAGTGCTTAGCACAGTGCCTGGCACAGAGTAATTGCTCAATAAACATTAATTATAATTAAGATGATTGGCAGGGAATGTAATCCAAGTGCAAGAGGATTTTTGTTTTCCTTTTGTCACCCATCAACTCAAAACCATCAACTCCTACTAGTCAGACCATTAGTTCCTTGCTCCTTCTGCTCTATCCTACCCAGAAAAACTTTCAACCTCTATTTATTAGAAATTAATTTAGTCTATAGCCTCTCATATTCTCCTTTCTCAGGTGAGTCATGGTTCACCTCAATTCTCTTTAGAGACCCCAACCTCTCAAAAACATACATACTCCTTTTTCTTCTCCGAATCTCACCTTGGTAAGATGTGCAGTCAGTATCTCTTCCAAACTCATATGTAGGACCATGGCCAGACCTTCGTTCAGATCCCAGGAACCATCTGCCTTTTGAAGAGAAGTCAGCTGTACAAGATGATTATCCCCAAAGATTTTGGGGGAGAAAAAAAAGAAAGAGAATGAGAAAGCAAGGAGCTACCAGCCCCTGAGCATCCCTGATGAGAGAGGTCTGAATCCAGAGACAGGCTGTAGCCAGAGTGCAGAGCTAAGCGGATCCTACCAAGATCCCCATTTCAGTCCTTCCCCTGGGAGACATGCTTTTTCTCTGTGACAGTGTAAGCCACCCGAGTGATGTACTGGTACCAGGGGAGCTGTACTTAAAAATTCAGCAACAGAAAGATATGGTACTAAAGAATTCACATGATAGTGCTATTTAAAGTCTTATCCAAATAATAATAATAATAATAATAATAATAATCACCACCACAGCATCAGCTTTAACAGAAATTCTGTAATGATAGTGTCATTTAATAAAGGACGAGTTGCTAAAAATAAAAATAAAATATAAAATCTTATCCAGTTCTGTTTAAATGGCCCTTAAAACTTTAAGTATGTTAAAAATTTTTGTACAAACAGAACTTAAATTTTAATTATCGAAATTTCAAAAGAAAACAGATATAAAGCCTATCTTAAAGAGTAGTCTTGTGTCTAATCCTGATGGTATAAAAATAACTTAAAGGCCACATAATTTTCACAGAAAGTATCTCACATCTGGATATCTAGCATAAGGAATGACATACTTAGAACAATTTAGAAATGAGTAGGCAAGAAACACTGTAAGTAGAACAACAGTTCGACTCTATGGAGAAAAAAAATCTAAGGCTCTGTATCTCAAGAGTCTAAATTTGAATCTCAGCTCTACTAACACTTAAAATGTACCTATATTTAACCAATGAAGATCTCAGCTTTCTCTATACATTGGAGACAATTATGCTTGATGCATGAGAAAGAATGTTAAGTATCTATAAGGCCCATCATGTGCTCCCTACGAATAGTAGTTGCCAACAAATTCACAAAAACCAGCAGCAAAACTTTGCTGTGTAAATTTTCTGCTTTAGTTAAGAGGTTCCATAAGAGAGAAAGCTAGAGTGGGGATATTCCAAGTTCCTGGGTATTAGGACAGCATTGGAAACCAACACAAACTGAGAACCTACTCTGTGGATTACATTAAGAAGATTCTCATGACAACCCTAGAAAATGAATAGTTGTGCAGGTGAGGGAACTAAGGCTCTGAGAAGTGAGCTGATTCACTTAAAATACCACAGTAATTGGGAGTCCAGAGATCTAAATTCACCTTAGACCTAAAAGCCCTCTCTTTAATTAGCGGCCTAAGGAGAATGAATAAGTAGACAGTAAGTGGCAAAGAAAATGCTTAAACTCTTGCTACAAAAATTAGACTAGAAAGAGTTGCCTTTAAGTCTATTTTAGAAGAAAAGGCACTCCTTAAGTGGTAAAATATACTTTGACTCAATTTGTCATGTACATGAGAAGACCAACTGCTTGGAACACAAGGACAGAGAGGAAGTCATCAGACAGCAAGAGGAAGGTCTGTCTACAAACCCAACTTATAAAAGAATGACCAATGCAGCAGGAGCCCAGAGTGGCAGCTGAATTCTGCAGGAGGAGGGCCACAACCTGCAGGCAAGGTGTGTGCTGAAGGGTTAGTTTAACTAGGGCTCACCTCAGACTAACCTCTGGTGGGTTTCAGGGTCCTACTTGTAGAGCTGGGCTGATACTGCCAAATATGGGAAGTGGACAAATTTCACCCTCTGCCTGACACTTTTCAAACAGATTACCTCTGGAGAGAGAAAACTACAAGAGGGCAGAGCATTGAAGATTAGTTCTTCAGTCCCCACACATCAGAGAAGAAAACTGAGGCCCATCTCACCTGTATGGTGAGTTTTCAAGTTGGTCCTGTTGATGGAAGAATGAGCCCTTTCCATCTCTGGAGAGGTCTCTGAGAGACATGCATTTCTTCTTTGTTCTATCACCAAAGCTTGGTGTTTGTCTAGTCCTACATGTGTGACAGACAAATATTGGTGAGAAAAAGTCTCTGAAAAGATGCTCATCTAGAGAGTACAGGTACTTGCTAATTGTGGATCTATGGGGATCGTAACCATTCTGCTGGTATGGCATGCTCGGGTAGAACGTGTTCTTCATAAGCCGAGGTGCAGAACAGTAGGAGGACGAGGCCTTTGTATGATATGAAAACATTAGTACAGGCACCCTCTGCTCTCCTCCATAGGCAAACGGCTCTGATACTTAAAGACACACACACTCCTATGTATGTCAGCCTCGGTCACCATCTTTATTGTATATTTTTTCTTCTTCCATGAGTCCAACTCCTGCACACAAACTCACCCTCTGAGCCCTTTCCACTGTGTCCTCTTGATACATGATAATGATCTTTCCTGCATCTTTAGTTTCATTATAGGAAGATTCTTCCAACTATCTATGTTAACTTAAAACTAACTTTTCCTTCTAAAAAAAAAAAACTTTTTCTCTCCACTCTCAAATGGTGGTTGCTCAAGGTACCATAACCCAAGTACCCAGATTTGAGAGATAGGGTTGGCAACAGCTTCAGTCCAAATTGCCACCTCCCTGTCATTATTCCTCTACCCTCACCAGGATTACCTTCTCATATCCTATCTGTGGTCGACCTCCAACCTCTTTGCCATTTTCCATCATTCACTGAAGTATCAAGAACTAGATCAAAGCTTCCACTCCATTGCAAGGACTGCCATCATCTTGAGATATTAAGTACCCAGGTAGATAACCTATCCTAATGCAAAGCTTCTTGTCTCCCTTAAATTAAGTGGCTCTAGCCTCCATTCTACTTCAGCCATTCCCTCCAAGCATGGATTTTGACATCAAGCAGAATTATTCTACCTGTAAAACAAATAAATTGAAAAAAATCTGCTTAAAATATACAGTATCCACTTTTTTCAGCTTTCTAACTCAGAGATTTCTATTTTACCTGGTCTTAGACCTCATCTGGACTTCTAAATCTTTGTCTTTTCTGTTTTTTCCTATATAAAAACTTCCTCCTACCTTTACTCTCTTTCCATTTAGCCTAAGTCTCTGGTCCATCACTTTACTACTCTCTTATCGATATCTTCGATTCCGGGTCCCTGATTTCCTTTTCATCACACCTACCTGGTAAAACCCCAACCTTGAAGTTAAGACAACACTCCACTCTCTTCATTCTTACACCAAAGCTGCTGAGTACTGCTGAAATGAATCACGTAAACTGATTCCCTTTAGTAGTTTGGTGCCACTAAAGAAGTCAAGGTATCAAAACTAAACTGGACCCTCAACACTCCTTGACAAGTGCTCTATTTATTCCCGAGTATTTCACTCTCCAATTTTCCACAGGGTTATTTCAAACTCTTTCCTTAAATTCTCTGTTCTACCACTCTAGTCTCATACACAATAGCTAATCTTGCTGTCTCTTTCACTAAAACTATAAAAAAACTATCACACAGAAACTCTAAAAAGATGGCTCTCAGCCTATGAACTAAAATCTAATCCCATCACCTCTCCACTTCCTGACAATAGGGGAAGAATGTCCTAATACTTGTCCTATTAAAAGCTGCCCCCACCACTGCTGTTTTAGATCTCATCCTCTCTCAGTTTCTCAAACTCCCTTCTCACTTAGCTCCCCCCAACATTGTCAATCCTCTCTACTGGCACTTTCCTACTGGTATTACAACACCCTTAAATCTCTCTCATTCTGAAAATTTAAAGAGATATAATACACAGAAAACCATCTCAACTCTACAGTTTCTTCTATAGATAGCACTCTATTCCTTCCCCTTTTCAACATTTATAAAAAGTGTCTATAAAAAACTTCCCTTCATTTCTCACCTCTCATTTGTTCTTTAACAATGTATAACATAGATTGTTTCCTAATTTAAATCAGTGGAATTGTTCTTGATTAGATTAGCAGATTATATATATATATACCCAATAGATCTTTTTTAGTTCTACTTTGATTTCTCTGCAGTATCTGATACTTTGATAACTCCCTTTGTTATGTCATAGTTCCTTTTCTTTTGAATATGCACTTGCGTCTTTTTTTTTTCCTTCTTCATTCATTTTATTATGGTTTGGGGACTTCATCCCCAGATACCGGATACTTTTCAGTGTTTCAATCTCATTGCTTCTAAAATTTTTTTAAAGAATGGCAATATCAGTTTAGAGAGACTGTTGTCTTCATTTAGTAATTAAATATGTTACATACAGACAAAACCTTTCATCATAGTTGTCATCGCCCTTTTCATCTTACTTTATACCTACCCTCTGAACAATTTCATCTATTATCACGACTTCGGTTATTGCCAAATGTAGATCTTCATCCCTGACCTCTCTTCTGAACCTCAAACCCATCTATCTCCCTTTTACTGGACATCTTCATGTGGATAGTTTATTGGGATCTTAAGTTCAAAATGCTCAAAAATAATGAAACATTTTATTCCCTAAACTTGCCTTTGTTCTTTTGTTACTCTATTAAATAAATGGTACCATCATCCACTCAGTTTCCTAACCAAAAATCTGGGTCCACCTTGAAGCCTGACTCTAGAATTAACATTATACATTCCCCTCTAGCCACAGAAAACTGCCCAGGAAATTTCTCCACCAGATCCTAATCCTCAAGCCCCTTATATCTAAAATGAAGCTTTCTTGGCTTATGCCTGAGACAGAGCCAACAATCAGCACCCATGTTTTAACACCACCAGGTTGTTAACCATTTAATTATCAATAAAATAAATCAGTTTCAGATTTAGACAGTGTTTATGTGCATTTTCTGTTTTAATTTTCCTTGTGTCTTGCCCCCTACCCTTATATCACTTTAAATTTCCTTGCAATGGAATATACTCTAGTTCTCTAGGACAGAAAAGTTTGATACCAGCCAGAAGTCCTAGATGTGAAAGAACAAAGGAAAAAAGGAACATTCATAAACGTTTCCTTTATTTTTATTTTTTTGTAGTTTCTTTTTTAAATTAATTTATTTTTAATTCTTTAATGTCACCACACATTTGACCCCTTTTACCCCATCTACTTCCCTTCTCCCCCTCCTCCCTACCCTCTGGCAACCACCAGTCTATTGTTTATGTCCATAAGTCTCTGTTCGTTTGTCCTGCTCGTTTGTTGCTTTTAGGTTTACATTCCACATATAAGTGATATCATGTGGTTTTCAACTTTTTCCTTTTGGTTTATTTCACTTAGTATGATTATATCGAGGTCCATCCATGCAGAGGAACTGAACAGACACTTCTCCCTAGAGTACATACAAATGGCCAACAAACATATGAGAAGGTGTTCATCATCACTAGCTATTAGGGAAACGCAAATCAAAACCACAATGAGATACCATCTCACACCTGTTAGAATAGCTTTTATCAACAGGACAAGTAATAACAAGTGTTGGAGAGTATGCAAAGAAAAAAGAACCCTCAGGCACTGCTGGTGGGACTGCAAATTGGTACAGCCACTATGGAAAACAGTATGGAGGGTCTTCAAAAAACTAAGAATTGATCTACCATATGATTCAGCAATCCCTCTACTGGGTATTTACCCCAAAGACTTGAAAGCACATATCCAAAAAGATATTTGCACACCAGTGTTCATCAGCATTATTCATGGTGGCCAGGACATGGAAACAACTGAAGAGTCCTATGATAGATGACTGGATAAAGAAGCTGTGGTACATATATACGATAGAATATTACTCAGTCATAAGAAGAAAGGAAATACTGCCATTTATGACAATAAACGTTTCTTTTAAATGATGTGTTCAAACATCCAGGGCTCCTAATTTTATGAGTTTCAATGAGGTAAAACTCACTACCTCCATGATATTGTGGTATCATAGGCTTTAAAAAAATTATAGTGATAATTAGAAAATATTCTCAAGTGGATGCCAATGGAAAATGATATATATGAATTTCAGATTCAACTAAAGATATACTTAAATTTGTAATTCTAAATATACATATGTATATATATATGTATATACATGTACATTAGAAAAGAAAAGGAAGTCTAAAATTCAACTACCCGAGCCTCCATCTCCAGATATTAAAAACAGAACAGCCAATAAACCCAAAGAAATTTAAAGGAAAGAAAATAACAAAGATAATAGCAAACATGATTAATACAGAAAATAATCATACAATAGAGAGGATCCATATACTCAAAAGTACTGGTGTTTTGAAAGGATTATTTAAACTGACAAATATTTTAGGCAAGGAAAAAATAGAGAAGGTACAAATAACCAACATCAAGAAAGAAAAGGGAATACTATGATTGATTTTATAAAACTTAATAACATTGTATGGCAACATAAGAGACACTATTATGTCAAATAAATTGAAAATGTAAATAAAATATACAAACTTCAATTAAAATCAAGAATATATAAAAATGTAAAGTTTTATTTTAGTTAAAGACCTTTCAAAACCTTCCCACAGAAAAGTCTCCTAGCAACTTAGTGCAAACACTATTGAAAGAAAATATTTCAGATGATAGAAAAACAGGCAACTCTTCTCAGCTCATTTTATGATGTCAGTATAAAACTGATATCAAAACCCAATAAGAATATCATACGGAAAAAATACATGTCAATATTTCCCATGGAAATAAATTTAAAAATCCTAAACAATTATTAGACAACTGAATCAAAAAATATATGAAAAAGATCTAAAGGTTAAGCAATCACAATTAATTTGGGTTTATTTCAGAAATGCTAGGTTGGTCGAACATTAACAAGTTATAATAACTCATGCATTAAAAGAATAAAAGATAAAATCACACACTCACCTCAACAGATACATAAAATGCATTAGATAAAATTCAACAACCATTTTTTTTAAGAAAGAAAGAGAACTCTCAAAACAGAACTAGCTTTTTTCCATTTATTTTAATCTGTCAATATACATTATTCTAGTAGCTATATAATAACTCATCAAGCATACCTAGCATAGTTAATTTAGCTACTGTAAGACATTTTGATTGCTTATTAATATTTTATATTGCTAACATGGCAGTGAACATCAGTGCATAATTTTACCTATATTTAGATTTATTTCCTTAGGTAAGAGTCTCAAAATTGGAATTACCAAAATGAACATTTGTTTTGACATGCACGGCCACATTTCTTCTCAAAAGTATGATACTAAATTATTTTGCTTCAAGCAATCTATGAGAGTGCCAAATTCATTTCACCTTTTAAAGCACAAGGCATTATCAGATTTAGAAAACTTTGATAATTTGAAAAGTGATAATTTGAAAATTTTATTTTTATTTGCTCTTGCAGAGATTGATTTGTAATGTTTGTAAACTAGCTGTGCTTCATCTAATGAATTATTTTTTCATGTCCTTTGTCCAGTTATCTACTGATTCACTTAAACTTGCCTATAATATAGTTACATGATATTCCTTGACCCAAACCATTTTTGCATGCCATGATGTAAGTAAGCTATTTCCGTTTTTTACCCACTACAAGATAGAAGAAAAGAAAAGTGAAGACAACTTGAAGGCAATTCCAGGATAGGAGTTACTCCTTAGGAAGTAAGTAGAAAGGGAGAAAGAAAATACCTGTGTTCATTATAGGTCGTCCCATCTCCACAGATACACTGGGAGTTTGTACCTCACTGTAGTAAACCAGTAGTTCCACATTGCTTTTAAATTTGTGTCCATCTACCAAGGAAATCTGAGTTAGACACAGGCAAAGAAGCCATGTTAGCACTATTGCTGCTTGTTGTCTAGGGTTGAGGTCAGAGCTGAGGGCTACAGCTTCTTCCACGAGTGGGCATAATATTCAGGGGCGGGGTGAGAATGTAGAGGAGGCTCTGGAGATTGCATGAGGATAAAAAAGGAGCAGAGTGTGACTCCCTCTGAGTTAACAAGGAAAAGTAAGGAACATTTAGGGAAGACTGAGTGAGGAACAAAATCAAGATCCAAGAATAAGGATGCTGATCACAACAGGGTTCTCTCATTAATTACCTGAGCAGAAGTCTTATCATCCCCAAGGTACTCAATGGGACTCAAGGGACAGTTGCACTGGATCCTCTAAATGCCATGCTGGGAACTGATGCTTAGTGCGTAGGGCAGGTCCTCCAAAGGGACGATAAGAGTCAATCATCCTCAGGCCACCCAATAAAAAGTTGCCTGAGTTGTATTTTCTCTTCCCATACCTTTTAGCACTCCTAATACCTTGAGTAGATTTCCTCAATTGTGTCCCCCACCACCATTACTCAAAGAGAGCAGATACTCACCAGAGAGCTGGTACCAAGGATTCAGGATGGCTGGCAGCACATAACGCAAGGCCTCATCTGCTTCCAGGGGCAGCTCCTACGCATACTTCGGGATGAATGCTGCCTTTGAGCAAGTAGATGTCCCTGGAGCACTCATCCTCCTCCAACAGGAAGGCTCATTGGCCCTGGCTGATGGCATTCTTGTAGTTGGTGCCAGCCTAGGGAGAAGAGGGAAAGAAAGGTGATATCAAAGGTGACATGGTTGATGAAGAAACAAGTGGCACAGAAAAACAAAGACTCGTAAGGAGGGACTGTGATTGTTCTGGCCTATGGAAAGCATTTATTCAATGATGACAGACATTACTATTGTTCTTGATATTATTGTTACTGTTGTTAAATAAAGCTTGGCTTTTACTTTGGATCACGCTCTTCAGAGACCTGCACATAACAAGTTGCCTGAACCAAAACGGACCCCTGCAAATTAGATCACTTACCTTGTGATGTTGCTTTTGGGGCTCATAATTGAAACCACTGTTTGTTTTCTCTGTCCAAGATATTCATATTTCGCATATGCAACATGTCTTCTATTTTAAATCAGGCCATCCTAAACATATCTTCCAAATTTCATTATCTTAGACAACGATTTCAGGTGGTATGGCAACAAAGGGATATATTTATGTACCTAGATTATGATTTACATCATTATTCTTTTATCCAGCTAATCAATGGATGGGCCCGGTCCTAGTCATTGGTCCTAATACCACTGGAAGCTGCCCCCATCCATTCTGAACTGAGTCATCTATGAGCTTGCCTCTCCCTGTTCTGTCAAAGGGTGACCTGAGCTGCAATCTCCAGCACCAATACGGAGGATTTTTACTGAAAATACACTCTAAGGAGCTAAGATGGAATTCCCTGGTACACAGAGAATGCTGGAGTAAAATGAAACTAATGTGCTTATCCAGAGTTCCAGAGGCAAAGGAGTTACTGGGAACCCCAACCATTCCTGAGGAATCTGCAGGAAAAACTTGCAGGTCCTTGAGAAAAGCAATTTTCCTTCTGAGAACTGCTACCCCCTCAAGAATTCTGAGGCTTTGGCATGACTATAGGCCCTCTGTGCTCATCCCAATCGCTATGTAAAACATCACAGGCCACCCCAAACCAGAGCAATGGCCATGTTTGCTCACCTATCTGATAGCCAGGTGTTTCTTACACACCATCCCCCCGACACACACACAACAATAAATCAGGCTTTTTGTTCTGTGGTTGTTTTTATTTTGAGGAAATGGTAAAATGGGTCACATCAAGTAGAAACATGGAGGGCAATCGTGGCTGTGGAGAGAGGAGTGGCTGCTCAGGAAAAGGGTTTCCACGCAGACACTGGATGGCCTAAGTTCTCTGGTAAAACAGGTTGGTGCTGGGGAAGAGCAGCAGGGAGTTTAAAGCAGGACAAGTGACACAGGAGTACAAAAGCTGAAGAAACCCTGTCAAGCAACCAAATCTGTAAGCTCCACAGTACTCACCAAGGCTGGCTTTCAGGTAAAGAGACAGATAGAGAGGGTGAGCATCTTCTACAAAAGAAACAGGCTTCTTTCCAGATTCTAACCCCAGAACAAATCCCTCATTGAAGGAAATTTGCTCTTCTGCACCCTCTTCTCCTCTCTCCCCAGTACAAATTATGCTGTGTCAGCATAAGTTCTCCCTCTCGGGAGATTTCAGAAATGCACCTAGCAACAACAGGTAGGCAGACTGGCCACAACAGCTGACCAAGATCAAGGCCTTGAATCTGAAGCAGCTTGGAGAACAGAGGGCGGATGTTTCCGGTCTGCATGTTTCGGGACCTATAGGTCCCAGGAGTCTGGGCTTGTGCAGTTCCCTCCCCCGCAGGGAGAGAGAGGAGCCTGCCAGCGTGGGATGGCTCAGCAGCCACATCCCCAGCCTGTTGCAGAGGAGAAGTGGAGAACCCGGGATCCAGCCACGGGGGCAAGGAGTCGGCCTTGGGTAGAAACGGAGAGTGATTTAATCTTTAATTTTTCAGTCTTAGATTTTCATTGTCCAAGTGTTGAAACTTGGAGTCGGTCCGTTGAAGTTCTGTATAGAAGGAATTAAGGGGTGCAATCCGATCTGGCTGGGGGTAGAAGTGAGGCTTTAAGTTCCATTTCTACAGCACAAAATTACATAAAACTGAGGAAATACCAATTGTCCATATGAAAGAGAAAGGGAGGGAGGAGGAAGGGAGGAGGGAGGGAGGAGAGAGGGAGGAGGGAGGGAGGGGAAAGGAAGGGGAGGGTTAAAGAGCAAGAGAGAGAGAGAGAGAGAGAGAAGAGAGAGAGAGAGAGAGAGAGAGAGAGAGAGAGAGATGGGATGGGGAGAGAAGGAAAGTAAAAGAGAAGGGAAGTAAGAAGAGGAGCTGTGAGATTATTAGGAGATAGCTAAATCCCCCTTCCAGCGCCCACAAAATTTCCCTAAACTGCCAAACCTGCAGAAATCCTGGGGATCATGCGCCACGACTAAATTCGCCACCTTTTTGCTTTGCAGTAAAAAAAATAAAGCTCCGACAGATTTAGAGACGGAGAAAGGAAATTAGAATGGGCGGGTCTTAGTCCTCAGGGATAAAGGGTGAGATTCAGCCCCAGCGCGCGAGCAGCGTGGTCACCTACCTCCTCCTGCAGTCCGGAGCCTCTGAGTCACTGCCAGGAGAAAGCAACTGCAGTCAAAATTACCACGAAGACCCGCCCCCTTCTAGGGACCGGTTATAAGGTGGCAACTTCATGAGTAAGGGATCGACGAGAAATTCCTAAATAAATATTCTAATATTTGCTTTTCTCTGAATCAAGGAAAAGTTTTTTTTTTTTCAAGTGAAAATGCTGTAATAGTAACATCAACAATGATATCAAACACTACATATTTCTGTAATAGACTTAATTTCCTGGGGCTTACTGTGTATTAGGCCCTGCTAATAATACTGTGGGCTAGGCCCTGAACTTTTGGGGCTTTATATTAGCGACTTCTCAACTCTAAGTTGAGTCATTTGTCCCAAGATTGTATCCTCCCTACATCATGAGGGGAGGGAGAGGGGGCGATTAGGAGCCAGGGCACTGCACACAGGGCCCAAATATTCCTGTCATGGGTCATTTATGGGTTTTTCATCAGAATCTTAAAAGTTAAATTTTGGAGGGTAAAATGTTAGTAACAGATATCTGTGTTCATTTTCACGGCTAAGGAACACTAGAAGTGATGAAGTTCCCTACGTCTTTTAAAAATGACCTATCAAATCTGAGGCTTAAAGAAAGAGTAATATTGCTGTCAAGAATCTGTATAGGGGAAAGAATATATGTATTGAAGACTCGGCTTGATTTTGGTCGCTGCAAGGTATTTATTGTGGCACATTTATTCTCTTTGAGTCTGTTCTCTTATCTCTAAAATAGATATGATGACTACTTCCCAGAGTTGTTTTTAAACATCCAATGACTATTAATAGATGTGGCTATATATATATACAATCATCATGCCCACAACAGATACACCACATATTCTTATACAGTA